CACTCTAGTTTTTTACAATCTTGCTCACTCCCATCTTCCACAAAGTCTCTGAGGCCTCTGAGCACAGGGATAACAACTAGGCCACTAAGACAAGTTGCATTGCCACAGCTGAAGGCACAGGCCACACGGCATTATGGGCAAATACAGAGAAACAACTCTTCACCCAGGAAAAAGCTAACAACCTGAAAAAATCCTGCAAGCTAGAGATCAAGGAAGAAAAACAAGGTGACCACAGCAGATGAGTTATTGAGTATACATAGGGCTTCCATCTGCTTCTTTATATGATCTAGCAAATCAGTAATGCTTTGGTGGTAGTCTGATATACAGTTACACCATTAAGTAGTCACTATGGTCATTATGTTGAGTTCTTTGGTTATGGGTAGTTTTAGCAGTTAACAGCTATAGGCTTCACCCAACCAAATGACCCTTAGGAGTTTTACCAAGATTCTTGGTCTCTGAAACTTCTGGGGGTTTATAGCTCATCCTCTCCCCTGAAGCTGGGTAACTCTCAAAACTTACTGCTATCAAGTCAGATCTGATCCATAGGTAACCCTTCACTGTGGGTCCAAGGTTGCAAATACCCTGAAAAGAAATTGTTCATCTTTCTCTCACACAATCACTGCTGGATTAAAGCCACAGGAGAGGATTAAAACTGCCTTTGAGGTCTAGGTTAGGGTTAGAATAGAAAAAGGAAGGCATTTACTCTGCATTCCTCAAGCTAAAAGAACTCTAACACAAATTCAAGCCTCTAGATGTAATAGCGAGAGATGCTATAAGCAAAATCTTGAATTATTCAGGAAGTATCAAAAGAAGATATACAGAATACACAGGCAATGTACCAGAAAGAATTGGTTAACACACAACGATTTCAGGAAGTAACATATGACCAAAACCCAGTGGTAATGAAGAAGAAATTCAAGTGGCACTGAAGGCATTAACAAAATACAAGGCCCTAGAAATGGACAGGAAACCAATTGTTGTGTTTCAACAGATGCGGCCCTGGATGTGCTCACTAGTCTGTGCGAGGAAATTTGGAAGACAGCTGCTTGGCCAACTAATTGGAAAAGATTCATATTTGTTTTCATCTCACGGAACATAATCTAACAAAGTACAGAAATTCTTGAACAATATTAATAACATATGCAAGTAAAATCTTGAGTTGCAGTCAACTTGAGGACACCTAACAACAACAGGGTAGGGTAAGGCCAGAACACTAGCTACTGGAAGAGGGAAGCAGTGCAGTGGCAAGGGGACTGATTTTAGGTGGACAGTGGAAAGTTTTCCACTTAGAATCCACACTTTGTCTTGTTGCTTACTTTCCCTAAATTGTATCCTCCTCAGTCTCTATTTCTGCAAGCCCAGTTCTGCTCATCTGTTCATGGAGCCCATCTATTCAGAATATCAGGTGGAGCTCTACACATGAATGCCACGCATCCCCTTCTGCCTGTAGATCCTCCTGCAGAGTTCTTTTTCTTGTTCTTTCCCAGCTGATGGGGCATAGGTGACCAGCTGAAGAGCCAGAGTAGTGGCCATCCCACACTGTCACTACTCTCCTATTTTCTTTCTCACGATAGAAAAGGCATGCCACACTGCCCCACAACCATTCTGTGCACTTTGGCATTTCCAGGACATTCTATTACCCATGGGTGGCCAACATGAACTTAGGAGTTCATGCATATGGGTTGGACCCCCTCCACACAGAGGTCAATGACCCCTCAGGATTTCCCCTAGTGGACTACCCCTCATATCAAAGTCCTTGAGTCATGAGGTTAAAGCCCATTTCATTGATCACCTCTTTCTACATAGTGGTCATTGGTCTTAGGTTTACTCCCCGATAACCCCTATTCTCATATTAGTCATTTCTTCTGGTGCATGACAGTGGACTAGTGACTTGAAATTTGTCTAAGGACAAACTTTACGGAGACCAATGAAGGACACTAGCAACTTCATTAGGTTAATATAGAAATTGTATTAAGAGATTGTTTATTGAGATGATTCCCTGGGGAGGTGGCAGGGCCAGGCTTGAGTCTCTGCCTCTCAACCTCCCAGGGAGTCAGGGCCTTTTATATCTGATGAGCAAAGGTGTCATGTTGTTACCTGGGCCCAGGGGCTTGAAAGAAACCTTTATAAACACTAAGTATTTAAGATTTAATTTTGTTGTTGAGTATTATTTCAGTTGGAACAGACCCAAAGCTGATCCTTTAGGGGGTTTTCAGAGGAAGTTAATCTCATGGGAGGAACAGTGACTTAGAGGTTGGAAACGAGTAAAAAGATCATTGTTTTTATTGTTGTTAGACACCTTTGAGTTAAGTATGAGTCATAGCAACCCTATCAACAGCAGATCTGAACCCTGTCCTATTTTGTACCATCCTTATCATCTCTGCCTCAGTCACTGTTTCAGTTCGTCTTCCTGAGGGTCTTCCTTTCTTTACAGACCTTCCATACTCTCAAGCATCATGTCTCTTTCCAAAGAATAGCCTCTCCTAACAACATACCCAGAGTATGTGAGATGAAGCTTCACTAGCCTTGCCTTCAAGGAGCTCTCTGGCTGCACCTTCTCCAAAACATATCTATATTTTTGTTCTTTTAGCCATCCATAGTATATTCAGTACTCTTCTCCCACATCACAACTCAAAAGGATTGATTCTTTTTCTGTCAGAGGTAGCCATATTTGAGATCACTAAAGCCTTTTACTCTAACAAGGCTGAAAAGCAAAACTTAATATGTCTAGACACTGTCCGCTGAACTTCTAGAACACATCCACAAGGTATTATAGTTTTGGTAATTGGACCAAATGGTCAAGAAATAAAATCCTATTGACTCTGACCCGCAAGTCCATTTTCTTATCATTATTTCCTCAAACAGCAAAAGTTCCTCTTTATATATGAAGCAAAAATTACCCTAAAATAATTAAGAACAAAGAATGAATGCAGCATCAGTCAATGCTGAATGCCAAGTCATCTTTAGTCTTTGGGTTTTTAGCCTAATTTACAGACATATTTAGTTATACTCAGAATAGATTTGAATTAAACTTTTTTCCTTACCATGCTCTTGTTGTTGTTAATATGCCATTGAGTTACTGTGACTCACAGTGACCCAATCTACAACAGTTCTGAAGCCTGCCCTGCCCTGAGCCAGTCTCACCGACTGACAAACTTAACCACCATTACCCCAATTACTCTATCAATCCATCTCATCCAGGGTCTTCCTCTCCTGCACTGTCCTTTCACTCTTTCAAGCATAATGTCTTTCTCCAAAGACCGATCCCTCTTGGCTATGTGCCTAAAGTATGTGAGATGGAGCTACAAAATGCTAAGATTTTCCTCCCTTAATAAAATGTTTTTAAGAACCTCTAATGGTGTGGTGCTTTAAATGTTGAGCTGCTAATTGAAAAGTCAGTGGTGGGAACCTACCTAGCACGTTGTTGGAAAAAGCTGTAGTTTCCACTTGCAGAGATTTACAATCCCAGAAATGTAAGGAAGATTATTACCATTTGTTGGAATCCAAATGACAGCAGTGAATATACAAAGAAGACTTTTCTTTTGGAGAACGGGAGGTTAAAAACATTTAGCCTCACACCAGTCACTGGCATTCTTACCAAGAGACATATGGTCATCCATGCTGACAGTGTACCAGAAATTATTGCCAGACCATGCTGGTTTCCTAGGAATATGATTTTATGATCAATATTAGGAAACTGAAAAGTGATACAAGGGATATAGTGTGAAAAATATCTCAGAATATTAACTCATATAAGTAAATGAGTCTCCTGTAATTTTTAGGAGTTCCCAAAAATTCAGCAGAACCTTGTGTAAACTCCCTGTGGTATCTTCAGGAAAGCAAGGAGTAAAATTCACTTCAGAATGGTGAATAGAGCAAGGAGTATATATATAAACTTTAAAAAAAAGTTTTATTATTTTTTGTGTGTACCATCAAATCAGATCTGACTGGTCCAGGAGGATATTGCCCCTTCTTCTTCAGCAGAGCATGTGGTGGATTCAAACCCATACCTCTGGGATTCTATATATAAACTTTTACATGTTTTTGTTGTTGTTATGTGCCCTTGAGTTTCTTGCAACTCACAGCGACCTTATGTATAACAGTTCTAAACCCTGCTCTATTTTGAGCCAAGGTTGTGGTCTCTGACACACCTACCTCACTCTCTCAGTCACTGAGACAATCCATGTCATTCCAGGTCTTCCTCTCCTGCGCTGTTCCTCCACCTTCCCAAGCATGATGACCTTCTCCAAGAACTGGTCCCTCCTGACAACATACCCAAAGTATGTCAGATGAAGCTTCAAAATCCTTGCCTTCAAGGAGCAGCTGTAAATATTATGATTTGTGTGTATGTGTGTATGTATATGTATATATGTGTGTGTGTATACACATACACACACACACACACACACACACACACACACACACACACTACCAAAGCCTGCTAAATACATATATACATTTCTATTTTAAAATTCTGATGTTATGAGGCTATGGAATTCACACTTTTTCTGAGTTCTTTCAAATCCTTGTACTTCAAGCAAGCTTTCAGGATGTAGACTCAAGTTTTGAAGGTGACTCTGTTCAAAAGTTGGAAGATTGTGCAATCACGCCCAGGTCACTTCCCTCTAGCTTGCCCGTTTCCCATCACTGACACAGACACATACCATCTGGATCTACATGCCTTACCAAAAAGGAAAATTCGGAAGACAAGGTCTCTTCGTTGGGGAATTCCTGTCCCCATCCCCCACCCCTTCTCCACACACTTTGCAGCGCCCGGGGCCTCCTCGAGGTCACAGTCTGCAAATCCGTGGTGCATGAATCAGCCTCCTCCAGTATGGGACTCCATACAAATCGCCCCGCCCCGGCGGGGGTCGGGAGGTCTCGAACCCACATAAAGCGGGCGCTGACAGTGTAAGGGCCCAGGCTGCCTCTAGGAAGAGACGCAGCGCATCCTCTTCCTGCCCCGCGCAGTCTCCAGACGCCCTTCCGATCCAGGCGCCATGGACCCTGCTGGCCTTGCTCGGCTGCTGATACTGCCACTGCTCCTGCTGGGAACTGCCGCCCAGATACCTGCAGGTATTGATCTCCCGCGGGGACCCCCTCTTCCCGCCTGGTCCCAGCTGACCCTAGGAGTGCGCGGCGGCGAGTGCACCCCGGGCTCGGCGCTCTGTCTGGGCAGGCGGAGCCGCGCCCCCTGCGGAGCCTTGGGGAAGGGCGGCTTGGCTCGCTCTCCCAAGTTTGTACTTTGTTGGAGGCAGCTGGGACACACACCACCTCTCTCCTACTCGGAAAATATATCTGACCGCCTTCCCTCCTTCTTTCCCTTTCCTGTAGGCAAGAGCTTGGAGATCTGCCTCTTGCCCCCGGACGATGGACCCTGTCGAGCCCTGATCCCCAGTTACTACTATGACAGGTACTCCCAGAGCTGCCGCCGATTCATGTACGGGGGCTGCGAGGGCAACGCCAACAATTTCGATACTCGCGAGGACTGCAAAAAAGCTTGCTCCCACATCCAGAGTAAGTACCGCGAGCGCCTAGCACAGCGGAGTGCATAGTGATCCTATGCCCTGATGGCCTAGTGGGTAAAGAACTGTGCTGACAATGTATGAGATTTGAATCCACCAGCTTGAGGAAGAAGACTTCTTTAGAAATAACTTCTCAACGACTCTTTTCCATCGAGTTGAAATCGACTCGACTCATAGCTGACCCTCAGAGGTTGCAGGTCACTTGGGAGAAGAGTGCCCATCTTTCTCAAAGCAACTGGTGGATTCGAACCACGTGCCTTTTTGTTGTCAGCACAACGTCTTGTCTTATACACTAGGTTACCAGCGTTCCCAGCTGTAACTTTTAGCCAGTTTTTTTCTTACTTTAGGCAAGCTTCATTGGTACTGAATTTCCCCAAAAGTAATCACAACTTTACAATCCTAACATTTTCTCTTACTTGTCTGAAGCAGTTCAGTGCCTGTATAAATGTGGGAGAGGTTTATTACCTCACCATAGGCTGTAAGTACGCAAGGGTATAACATAGGCACAGGATAGGCATTTTTCTGTATTTAGCATAAATTAAAAAACTTTGGTTTTTGTTATGGCTTGATAAACATAATTTTCTAGTGTGGCTTATCTTTCAGCCTGAAATAGTTCTTAGTGAGTTTTATTAAACTTTGGTTTAGTTCATTACGAACTTTCTTTTGCCCCTGACAACCAAACGTGAGTCGAGTTAATGTGGAGCTATAATGAATGATTCTCACGATTCTGTTTTTTGCCTACCTTTTTTTCCCCGCTTTGTTTATATTATATAAGGTTACATCTGTAGCAGAACTCAGTGTTTTTAAAGGAATTTAGTCCCTGGAGGAAATGCATATTTATATGAATAAACTTTGATTAACTTCATATGCAAAAATTGAGGGCATTTTGACACAATATTTCCAACTCAATCACTTCTGGAAACCCTCAGTTAATAAAAACTAAACCCCTGGTTTGATGGGCAGTATTTAGTGATTTACTTTCCTGGCACTAATATACCTTGTCCCCCTTGGTGTTTCTTTAAAAAAAAAAAAAAGTTAAATTTTGACAGCTATAATAGCACCAACATTGTTCCTAACAATGTTCCTAACATTGTTTTATTGCCTTCTTTTTCCTAGAAGTTCCCCAGATCTGCCGAAGGGAAGTTAGTGAGATAACGTGTGACAATCCCAGAGAGGTATATTTCTTTAACCTAAGTTCCATGAAATGTGAAAAATTGCTCTCTGGAGGTTGTCTCACGAATGGGAACCAGTTCCCAGATGAAGCTTCCTGCATGACATTCTGTACACCAAAGAGAAGTAAGTAATATTTTATGACGCTTGTATTAAATTTCTTTAGAGAAACTTCTGGGTGGAAAGTCACTGATTTGATGTGGAATAAACACAGTTTGAGCTCTGGGGACTTAACAGATAAAACCATATCAATCTTTACACCACTGCTCTGGAAGGAAGTATTGTTTTCCGTTTTTACATGTGAGGATACAAGCTCAGAGAAGTTAATGACTTGCCAAGTTTTTATGGTTGGATAGTGATAAAGCTATTATTCAAATATCTGTTGCTGATTCTTAATTGTATTTTTAGAACTATTTTTTGTCTACTCAATTTCTACATAAGAATGAGTGTTTATTAATGAATGTCATTAGGGAACACTGGTGACTTACTGGTAAGGAATTACGCTGCCAAACCAAAGGTACTCAGATCAAATCTACCAGCTGCTCTGTGGAATCTCCTCCTGTGCAATTAACTGCCTCTGAAAACCCACTGGAGGGTCACCTATGGGTTGATTCTGACTCAACGATACATAACAGCATAACAACAGTGAATGTCATTACCTCAGAATTGTATATCAGTTGTCAATATGAGACCTATATAAATGGAATATATAAATCTACATAGACTTGCATGGTAAAACTTGTGAATTATTTCTTTCTAAAGTTATTAGGTGAGATTCTATATCCTTTCAAATTCAAAACTCAAACCCATTCTAGTCTAGTCAGAACTAACTCACAGCTGACTCTCTAGGAGGGTTTTAGAAGACTGTAAATTATGTAGAAGGAAGTTGTCCATCTTTCTCTTGAGGAGCTACTGGTGGATTTGAATTGCCAGAGAGGCATGGGATTTGGGTTAATAGTGCAAATCCCTACCTACTACGTAACCAGAGCTCTTTGACAATTGTAAACTATAGCATAAAGATCTTTGTCTGCCCATTAGCTACTCCTACTTCAAAGAGCAGGTTATTTCATAGTGTTTACTATTTTTGGAAAGAAATAATTCAGGCTTTTCCCCATATGAACAACAGAGAGCATACAGATGAATTCAAAAGAGAAAATTCTCTTCCGTAGCCCTAATACACTCTCAAATATGCCTTCTTTTTTAGTTAGTGGGGAGATGATGGTTGCTGCTGGGTTTGTCTTATTTAAATTGCTTGTGTAGTTAGCTCTGTATTTTGCAGTGGCTACTTGGCATGGGATGACGGTAAAAGCACTTTTCCCATTAGATGGTTTGTGGTTGGCATTCATTCAGCTATTCTGTGCAACTAGTGGCAATCTGTATCCATAAAGATTACAGCCTTGGCAGTCTGGTGGAGACTATAAGTTGTGTCTTAAGTTAACTGGACACCTGGTGAAACAGATTCCATGGATGGTGCAAATCGTTAAGAGTTTGACTACTAACACACACTAATCCAACTGGGGAAAAATTACAGCTTTGCAGTAAATTGTGTTGCTAACTCAAAGGTGATGTCTATCTAGTGGTTCGAATCCACTGTTGCTGTAAGAAATAGATGGATGATCTCTACCTGTGTGATTTAGAGCCTCTGCACAGAAACCTGCTGGAGGGTCAGCTGAGTCTGTTCCAGGCCAGCAAGGAGATCGAGGTGGAATAGTATTCTCCCCCTCTCACAGTACATGGGCTTGCCATGAGGGCAGGCAGGGGTTGGGTTTATTCTTGATTAATGATGGAAGGAATGTCGGTAATAATATTTGGAATAAAATAATCAAAACCAGAAAGTGTGTAAAAGCATGTCATATTCTATCTCTTGAAATTTTGCCTGTTTTCACCTAACCTGTCTTGTTTGAATTTCTTTTCACTTTAAAAAACATGCAAAAACATAACTTTGGAAAAGTTTCCTTTTAGTTTATGAAAAAGTTAAATTACCAACACATAGCATATAAACTTCCCAGTAATTTGAGACATACTTTTCAAATGATTTCAAAAGATATTTTGGATTCAAAATGAGGCTTCTTTGGCATTTGCTTTCTTGACTTTCATAATTTAGCACACTTTACTAATTTTAATATAATAGTGAGCCCTGGTGGCCTTGTGGCAAGAAACTGCTCTGCAATCTTGAAGGCACGTGGTTCAAGGCCTTCAACTGCTCTGTGGGAGAATGATGGGCAATCTCTTCTGTGCAATTAACTGCCTCAGAAAAGCCACGGGTGGGTCACCTGTGGGTCATATCTGACTCTACCATACACGACAACAACCACATTCCTAATTTTATGTTTCTACTCCACAAAGAGCCATCATTTTGCTACAGTCCCAAAGATGAGGGACTCTGCTCAGCCAATGTGACTCGTTACTATTATAACATAAATCACAAAGTCTGCGAGACCTTCTCCTATACTGGCTGTGGAGGAAATGACAACAACTTTGTTCGCCTAGAGGATTGTGAAAGAGCATGCAGAAAAGGTAAGTAGAATTTTTTTTATTCAGTCTTAAAATTTACTTATCTACTGAATTTTCATATGACAAATAGTATTCAACAGTGAATACCATGACTTCAGATTTATATAATATCTGCTATAAATGTAAGATAGTAAAACATCTCTCTATGTAGAGTTAAAGATAGATAGAAATTTGAATAATATCTTTCTATAACTTTTAGTTGATTAAGTTAGTTTAAAATAACCAATACAGCTCTGGTGGCCTAGTGGTAAGAAACTGTGCTAAATACCGAAGGCATGTGTTTTAAATCCACCAGCAGCTCCACAGAAGAAGAATGGGCATTCTCCTCTCATGCCATTAACTGCCTCTGAAAACCCGCTGGAAGGTCAGCTATGGATTGGTTCTGACTGGACGGCATAGAACAACAGCAATAAGGGTGCCATGGTGGCTTAGTTTGAAGGAAGTTGCACAGCTAACCCAGAGACCATATCTCCCTGACAATTCAAACCCACTAGTTGTTCCTTCGGAGAAGGATGAGAAATCTCCTCCTGTGTGATTTGCAGCCTCTGAAATCCAGTGGAGGGTGAGCTAAGAGTTGGTTCCAACACACCAACAACAAAGGAGAGAGAATTCTAGGTTTTTTTAATTTTTTTTTAAGTTCATAATATAAAGTGTGTATTATTATGTGAACAAAACAGTAACATCAAACAAGTTTAATAATAATACTGTAATATTTAATATTATAGTAATTATATCTGTTATAAACAATAATTTATTATCAGTAAAAATGTATAAGAATTAATATAATATTTCTTTATAATATCACATAAAGAGCTTTATAGGAAATGTTTCTACTGCCTAGCTGTAGTAATTAGCCTTTTATTTTAAAAGTAGAATATTATAGTTGCATGTACTATGACTATCTAACTTCATAATTATTAAAAATTAAATGAAGTAAGCTTTTAAGCATATTGGAATTGCTGATTTATAGTGTGACTCTACAGACTAAAGACTTACAGTGTTGATTTTTCTTTTATTGACTTTAGCCTCAAAGAATGAAAAGAGTAGAAAGGTACAAAAGCTTCTCAATGCCACTGGACCTCAGAAAACAAACAAAAAAAAACCCAAACCCTGTTTGAATGATTTTTCTTGTATGTAATTTTGTGACTGTTTATGACCTCTGTAGTAATAACTGAGTTATCTGAAATCACAAGATATGATGTATTTGCCAATTTTTATTGATGTAAATCATATTTTATATCTGTTTTTTATACATTTAACTGTTTCAACTATTAATCTGTTATATTAATTTATGGTGATTATTTTGCTGTTAAGGGGTTTTCCCTTTATTTTAATGAAATAAAGTTCTTGTAGTGGTTAACATGTTGTTGTTTTTATGTGCCATTGAGTTAGTCACCTGTGATTCATAGCGACCCTTTGTACAACAGCCCTAAACCCTGTTCTCTCCTGTGCCAATCTTATTATCTCTGGAACCTCCATTACCCCAGTCACTGAATCAATCCATCTCATAGAGGGTCTTCCTCTCCTGTGCTGTTCATCTACCCACCCAAGCATGACGTCCCTCTACAAGGCCTGATTCCTCCTTGCAACATGTCCAAAGTATGTCACATGAAGTCTCAAAATCCTTGCCTCCAAGGAGCAACCTGATTTATTAACCTTCTCCAGGACGAACCTGTTCGGTCTCTTAGCAGTTCATGTGTATTCAATACTTTTCTCTAATACCATAGCTCAAAGGCATCAATTCTTCTTCTATCATCCCTAGTCATTGTCCAGCTCTCTGATGGTTAACATACAAAAGCAAATATACTTACTCATTTCCTGGGACTGCTGATCCTAATTTCAAAAGGTAATAGCAAAAGGTCACTTAATTGTGTACATTTAGCATGTATGGGCATTAAAAAGGAGTGGCAAAAACATTTCATTTTGCATTTGAAAGTTGGACTGTATTGTAAGATCACAGAAGAAAAAGTTTCATACTTACCAACACTTCAAAAAAGTAATCTATTATGTAGGCACTAGTTACCATACTTCCATTTTATTGCTTCAGATTGTGGTGTCAATAATGTATGGATTTATTTAAAAGGTACTGTATTAACTTTCTTGACTAAATTGAAAAGCTAAATATGTTAAAATCAGAAATGTTCTTCTCTAGAGGAAGTCTAAGGAAGATTATATGGCATCTTTAGGTATTTATCATTGACTAATCTTATGTATAGATCTGCTGGTGGTTTGGTGGTAAGAAATTATGCTGCCAACCTAAAGGCACATGGTTTGAATCCACCAACTGCTCTGCAAGAGAAAGATGGGCATTTTCCTCCTATGTAGTTTACAGTTCCTTGGGTCAGCTATGAGTCAGTTCTGACCAAACAGCCACATCAGAAACAATACAAATCTATTTACTCCCCTGGAAACCCAAAAGAAGGTCACCTATGAGTCTGTTCTGACTTAAGCACAATGAGTTTTTCAGCAATGATCTGTTTCTATATTCTTACATTTTATGATTATATATATGGATGCTTTAAAATGTCTGTTTCATAATAGTTTAGAGACCACTAAAGTTGTTAAAATTTTGGTACTCTCTGATGTTTATTTACATTGCACAAGAAACTATACTTGAATTTAAGAATTTAAATTCCACCAATAAATTTTTCTTAATTAATACTCATTTTAGAGGAATTGTTTTTCTTCTGCAAAACCACTGTGTGGCAAAATTAACATGGTTAAAATATTACCCTCTATCAAAGGATTTTTCCTTTACTATAGCAATCTCTTTTTTTACAAACTCATCCCAAAATCATTGGGACAAAAATATGAAATTATATATTTTATATATATAATTGATAGATTATTTGAAAAGCCTGAAAATGGAAAATAAACTAAATGTTTATCAGTAGGGGATTCATTGAAGAAATTAGAAATGAGACATAAAGAAAGCATTTATATGTGAATACCACCTGTTTCCTAGAATACATTAAAAAGTACCTTGTCATACTTTTGTAGGAACTCATATACACATCACAGAATATTAAAGGATATTTAAAAAGTAATCTACACAAGAGGCAAGGGAACAGAGGGAAAAAATTTTCTGTAAATACACTTTGTCATAAATTTTTATATTGGCCATAGATAGAGTGGTTTTACATAATTAGAAACTAATAGTGATGAAAAAAGAAAAATAAATCTCCTTGGAAATTGAAAAAAGCTAATACAGCAAAATTAATATTAAATAGTTACATAAGTATGTTCAGAATGCAATTATTTTTCAGGCATTTCTGAACTACTATTTTAACTATATAACTATATAAAATCCGCTGGAGGGTCAGGTATGGATCGGTCCTGACTTGACAGTACACAACAACAACAACAACACATTAACTATATTGTTGTAGTTAGTTTTGCATTGGCAAAAACCAAGGAATCAGGAACTGACGGAATACCAGTTAAAGTTTCCAGCAAACAGATACAACCATAGATTTGCTCATGCATGTATGCCAAGAAATTTGGAAGATAGTTACATAATCAATTGACTGGAAGAGTATTCCCATTCCAAAACAAATACAATAGAACATGGAAATTATCAAACAATATTATTAATATCCAAATGTCTTGGTCTTTCATTCATAGGGTCACTATGAGTCGTCTATGACTTGACAACACTTAACAACAACAACAATAATTATTAATATCACATGCAAGTAAAATCTTGTTGAAGACAAGTATAAGAATCCAGGAGGGGTGGGAGAGGCTAGAAGCAGAGGTATGTGGATGTGCAGGGGGGAAGGGAGGTTTAATCATTGGGTTGTACAATTTGATTGGTGGGGGGTGAGGGAAATTGAAAGAATTTGTTCAAGTTTGCATTTGAATTTTGTAAATAAACTAGTAGAATTTTTTTTAAAAAAAGAATAAAAAATATAACTGAAACAATAATACATTAACAAGGAACTGTCAGAAATTCAGAAGAGACTATGGTCTAAAGGATGTCACTGCCACTGTTAGATGGAACTTGGTTGAAAGCAGGAAATACCAGATAGATGTTTATTTGTGTCTTGTTGACTATGATAAAGCATTTGTGTAGATCATAAAAATTATGGCTAACACTGAGAAGACGCACAGAACGTTTAACTTGTGGTCATTCAAAACCTATACCTAGACCAAAAAGCAATTGTTTGACAAGAACAAGGGAGCCCTCCATGATTTTAAGTTAGTATACAAAGGCATTTGACTCTGTGAATCAAAAGAAATTATGTAGACACCATGATCTAGATCAAGCCTCCTAAGTAATTTTACTTGATATTCTTTGGCATTTTGAAGAGGTCCTTGAGAGCAGATTTTCCTAAGACAACATGTCCTTTGATTTCTTGACTGCTGCCACTGTGGTTACTGATTATAGAGCCCAGTAAAGTGAAATCATTGACAACTTTATTCTTTTTCTATCTGTCATGATGTTGCCTATTTTTCCAGCATAGGGAGTTTTGGTTTTCTTAATATTGAGATTGAAAACTTTTATTTTCTGCAGTAAATACTTCAAGCCTTCTTCACTTTCTGCACTTAAGGTTGTATAATTGGCATAATTCAGGTTGCTGATGAGTCTTCCTCCAACTCTGACACCACACTTGTCTTCATATAATCCAGCTTCAGGGATTATTTTTTAAGAATACACATTGAATGCATACAATGAAAAGAGTAAAGAAAAGTCATTGTGAATTCTTGAGGTTTCTACACCCAGATTTAGTCTTTGCTGCCTTTTAAATCTGTTTAGTGAACTCAGGAAGACTTCACTGTCTGATGTATATAAGAAGTAGATCCTCTTTGCTGCCATTGATTTGGTATCTGAAGTATCTTTCATTTCATTTTAGTTAAATAATAAAGTCAGGTGCTGCAAATGATTGAGTGGAAAAGTTTATGGTTCAAACTGTCTCATTGGTAACTCAGAAGGCAGTACAGGGAATCAATCTGCTTCTGAAGGTCAATTGCCTCCAAGGAACACTCTGGCTGCACTTTTTTCTTCAAGATGTATTTGATTGTTCTGGTAAGTGATGGGCTAGATATTCAGCACTCTTCTTCAACACTACAGATCAAAGGCATCACTTCTTCTTCTGCCATCCTTAGTCATTGTCCAGCTTTCAGATATAGCAACTGACTGAAAAGGCAATGTCCTCAATAAGAACTGACATTATTACTCCTTAATAATTTAGTAGGTGTCTGACTACAAATTTTCCCAGTACAGTATTTCTCCCAATCTCCTGACTTTTGTTACCAAGTGTATTGATTGTGATTTCAAGTAAGATGAAGTCGTTAACAGTCTCAACCCTTTCTCTGTCCGTCATGATGTTGCCTATCTGACCAGTGGTGAGGATTTTTGTTTTCTGGACGTTAAATTGTAATTCATATTGAAGGCTGCCACGTTTAATCTTCTGTAGCTGCAGAAGAAAGCATTTTACACCCTGCATCTGACATTTTATTCAGGTACAAGTCCCATCCATTCAATACAAGCCCTGACTCACTCATTTCTGCTAAACTTTGCTAAAAAATAATAAATTATCAAATGGAACACAATGTATATGAATGCATAAAATACAATATGCATGAATGAAAAATACAATGTATATGAATGATTGCATGGAAACCAATAAAAAAATTTTAAAAATGCAGTAATGTTAACATTGCTAGTAATTAATACTGGTGTAATATTGGAGGGAATGAGATTAAACAAGTAGCTACAATGAGTAAGATATGAGATAATTGTGTATAGGACTAATAGGTGATATAATCTGATATCTAGGGCTTCATAATACAATTTTTTCTGGAAGTTGAGCAGAGGAAAATAGACCTTTTTTTTTTTTTTTTGAAAGGGAGAATGAAAGTACCCTATCCAACCACAGGCCCAGGATGATGAAGGATTGGAAGGAAAAGAACCTCTATTTGCATTAACTAAAGAGAACTCCATATTTTCAGTGGGAAAAAAAGCAACAAAACCTAATTGTATGTGAGTAGGAAAGAAGAGATTTTGTGGATCATAAATTCTATAAAACACATTGTAAGAGTTGGGAGTGGAGAGTTAGAAGGAGACATCCCAAGGGATACAGAGGAGATGAACTTCCCCAAATCATCAGAAACTTGGCATACTACATGGGGAAT